TCATCTGCAAAGTTAGCAGCATTGCATCTCTGACTGTCCTTCTGTAGTCACATCTCCCTCCCACTGTCTCTTCTGTCTCACTCTTCCAGTTCTAAGGGCTGAGCTTTGTGATCACATTGGGCACACTAGAATAACCCATGGTAATCTCCCCATCTTAATTTCCCCATCTTCAATCGCATCCACAAAGTCCTTTTTTTCCCTGCAAATTGTGTATTCACAGGTCATGGGTATTAGGACTTATACAAATTCAGGGATTGGGAGCTATTGTCCTGCCTGCCACAAATTTCCTTACAAAAGAGACAATAAATTGTTTTTCTTTATGTCTCTCAGAGTGCCTAGCAGAGAATAATATTTGAATAGAAGGCCTTCTAATGAGATAGGCAACAGCAATCTTATATTCCAAATAACATGTGATCCGGGTCTCTGAAAAAACATGGTGGCTAATATCCACCTTCTGAATCACTTTTCCCATGCATCCATTATGTCCTGGGGCATTATATTATGATTTTCAAAGGAGTGATATGGAGGGAGTTTGCCAGTATTTAGTTACCTGATTCTTAAATCCCTCCTCATCTGTCAGGAGCTGTGCAGTGAATACCGTAACTATGTGAGGAATGGACGACTTTTCTGCACCCGAGAGAATGACCCCATCGAGGGCCCTGATGGGAAAATCCACGGCAATACCTGCTCCATGTGCGAGGCCTTCTTGTGAGTAGAGCTGCAGCCACAGCCACTGCTGAGTGTAGAAGATGGGCCTGGAGCAGGCGAGAGAGATGTCATGGAAGGTTTTCTCTAGGATGTAGAAAAGGAAGGCTGTCGTTGCATTGAGTTTGGGGATTTGCTATTATCAAGCCATATGGTTAGCACATTTCTGTGTAGTGTCCTGAGTGTTCTGAAAGGTGCTTGAATCACCATCAAGGGGGGACCATGTACCAAGGGCAAATTCCCCAGAGTTAATGGCATGCAAGGACTGGGACCTTTCTCTGCATGCAGACTGTCATGAATAACCCAAAGAGGTAATGATTGGGTCTTACAAATTGGAAATCTGCTCACATCTAGTCACTATTTTTCAGTATCCTAGCTGCTTTCTGGGGAGAAGGACAATATCTTTATTTTCTAAAAGAAATATTGTGATAATTTATTTACTGGTTTGCTATGGCATGTGTATCTTATTCTTTAAGCAACAGTAATAGCAAGAAGAACAGTATGTTTGGGTGTGCATTTACCTTTCTACTCCCAAGTTAAGTTGGTAGACCTGTGGAAGTAATGGAATATTTTTATCTAGAGAGATTTCCCCTTTGGGATAATATGTATTGGGTGCTAGGAATCATTTGTCCCCTCTTATCCCCCTCCTCTCTTACAGCCAGCAAGAAGCAAAAGAAAAAGAAGAAGTTGATTCTGAAATAAAAGTTAAGAGAGAAGCTGACAAGGTAGCTGTCATGGAAGGTTCATACCACAATGAAAGGATGAGGGTTTGCAGTTTCTCTTTAAAAATAACTGAAATTTATTTTAAAATTTATTTTAAAATTACTGAAAGCCTATGTGAGAGAACTCAAGGTTTGCTTAGTCCAGGGGTTGACAAACTTTTCTTAAAGGGCCAAAGAGTAGATATTTTAAGTTGTGGCTATTCAGCCTCTGTTGCAAATACTTCACTCTGCTGCTGTCACTCTAAAGGAACCAGAGATCATATGCAAGCAAATGGGCATGTCTGTGTTCCAGTAAAACTTTATTTTGAACAAAGGTGATAGGTCAGATTTTGCTCACAGGTCATAGTTTGCAAACCCCCTGATTTCTTTCATTCCCATATTTTTAAATGAAGATTTAAAATGAGAAAGAAAGAAGAACTTGCTTAGAAAGTCAGTGGGAGTGTTGGTATCAGAATCCATATCTTCATATTTCAAAGTTTTCACAATTGAAAGGTGGAAACAATTGAGTTCAAACCTAGACCTCCTGGCACCAAATCTAGCATGATTCCTAACACACCGTGTCGTTTCTGATGACCACATTTGGTCAAACCAGGTGTGTTTATTATTTTCCCTTTAACTATTTCTGGTGCCAGCATTTGGGGAAAAAAAGAAAAGCAACTTGCCCAGATAATATTGGCTTGATTTCAAAAAGACTGAGTCCAGGTATATTTTTCCAGGTTTACAGTTATTTCCTTGCCCTCATCAAAAACTTTTGATATTGAAAATCATTGCTAAAGAAAAGCATCACATTTGGAATTCTGTACGGTTGGTTTGCTTGTATTTCCCACAATTGTGAGTCTGAATTTAAAAAATAATATGAGTAGGTCCTATGATTCACTTTTCAACATCTATCAGAGAAAATTCTTCAGAATGAGACAATTTCTGACTTCACATTAGCTACTACCAACAAACTATCCTCTCATATCATATTTCTTTTGCTAAATATGACCAGTTAAGGAACCTGACAGTGAACCTTAAAGCAGACAGAGTTAGGAGAAAAACTCACTTTTGTCCTCATTGAGTTTCAACTTGAACTAAAAGATATAAACAAACAAACAAATAAAACAATCGGAAGCCCCCACAAATTCAATTCTAATTGTCACCAGTAATTAACTGTATGATCTTAAGTGATTTGCTCATTCTCTGTCAATTCCTCGTATAACTCTGGAGCTAACATTTATGACTATTTAATGCTTCCTAGATGTTACTCATTGTAGATATATATACATGCATGTATTACCTCACATTATTCTCACAACAATGCAGGACATATAGTGAATACTTTTTGCATACTGGCCATCATTATTTTAACTATATGGAATAGATTCTATTATTATTTCCATTTTATAGATGAGGTAACTGAGGCACAGAGAGGCAACACCCCTCAGCTGAGGTTTCTTGGTGGCACACTGGAATTAAAATTAACAATATGATATAGTTGTCAACATGTTAGTGCTTGTCCAGACCTACCTGGAATATTATGTTAAATTCTTTAGGAAAGGGGAAGAATTCAGAATAAGAGATGGTACAGATGATTAAAACAGAATGAAGTACCTGGAGGATACTCTTGGACGATAACATAGGGTGTTCTGGGAGAAGGACAAGAAAGCTTTCTCCACATATCTGAAGGACTCTCTGTGGAAGGAGAAAAATATCCTCAGTTTCTCTGAGGGAAGTAAAATACTTTGACTTTGCTTACTGGTCTGAAGGACATACTCATCCCAATTGCAATGAGGTCTTAGAAACATCAAACCCTAAGAGTAGGGATTCCATAGGACTTATTATTTTCTAAGAGCTCCCTAAAGTAGCACTGTGGTTATTTTGTGGGAACTATCTAATTGAAATGTTGGAATGAACTATCTGAAAGGTAATGAACTTCTTATTACTGCAAGTGTTCCAAAGCAAAAAAACCAACTCCTTGGCAAGCATGATATAAAGGGGATTGAGATATAGTACAGATGGTTGGACCAGATAAATTTTGAAGTTCTAGCTAAACCTGAATTTTTTTGGTTCTATGATATGTCCAGTGTTTTTATTGCACTGTAACAGAGACGGACACTAAACCCTGAGTAAGGAATGCGACCAGTCCCCAGAGAACCTACTTCATTAAAAGATTCTTGCTTGTTTGTGATTGCAGGTTCAGTCTGGACTTGGGGGCTAAATCTCAAGGAAAATGAAAGAGAAACTGCCTTTTAAGTCCTGTGTGTTTAGTAGGAATTGAAAGTAACAATTGCCAGACGCAAAAAAGAAAAAAATCCTTAGGTCATTTTCTCCTTTTTCCAGGAAGCACTTAGTAGGACCCCAACAAAGTGGTTTCCAAGAAAATACCCAAGCTTTTGCCTTTTCTCCTCCTTTTAGGATAGGTGCAGTGAATATCGGAGCCTTTTGCAAGATGGAAATCTTTTCTGCACACGAGAAAATGATCCCGTGCGTGGCCCAGATGGCAAGACCCATGGCAACAAGTGTGCCATGTGTAAAGCAGTCTTGTGAGTGCACAAATGAAGCCCCTACTGTGGGCTGACAGAGTTGGGGAGGCAAATAGCTGGGAAGATAATAAACACTGTTTGTCCTTCCTTTACATATAAAAGCAAAAATAATGATCTGTAAAGCATTTTTAGGCAAATCTTTCTTTCTAAAGGCTAAGTTAATTCACAATTCTAGAATTAGACAATACATGACTAAG